AAGAGAGAGAGAGAGAGAGAGAGAGAGAGAGAGAGAGAGAAAGAAAGAGAGAAAAAGGGGAGAGAAGGAAGAGAGAGAGAGAGAGAGAGATCTGTCCACTTGTAGAGATACGACTTATTGACCTTTCCCCCGACCCCAACAGCTGTGACAGGGCCACCACTGATACGTGCACCTAGAAATAGATGGAAAGAAAAGGACGTGGAAGGAAGTAGAAGTAGCAGGAAGGAAAGAAAAGGCATAAAGGAAGTGTAAAGAAGGAAAGATAAATGATAAAGAAAGAAGTAAAAGAAAGGAAAGAAAAGGACTTAGAAGAAAGTAGAAGGAAGGAAAGAAAAGGACGTGGAAGGAAGTAAAAGGAAAGAAAGAAAAGAAAAAGAAAAGAAGTAGAAGGAATGAAATTTAAAAAAGGCAAAGATGGAAGTGGAAGAAAAAAGACATAGAAAGAAGTAAACAAAAGGAAAGAAAAAGACATGGAGGCAAGCAGAAGGAGGGAAAGAAAAGGGCATGTAAAAGGAAGTAAAATTGCAACTTTCCATACCTTTCCCTACAGGTGTAGGGGGCAAGTGGGGGGGGGCTCCACCATCACTCACAGAAGACGAGAGTTCGATTATTATGTGGGGGAATTTTGAACAAGTATTTGAGTGTTTCTGCTGAGACATTGTCCCTCTCAGCCTGGGTTGGCCCTGATAAGCAGAGTGGAAGCTGACCTTGTCAGTGATTGATTGGAGTGGGTTAAAAAAACAACTTTGAAAATAATGTACCTTGTGATTTGCCGTACCATTCCCCCGTGATTTACTATACTAAACCTCGTAACTTATAAGACTGTTCTCACCTCAACACCCCCTCCCCTTTCCTCCCCTTCCCGCCCTCTTCCTATCCGACCCTCCTCCCCCCCCACCCCCTCCACCTCTTGTCCTGGTTGGAAGTGTGCAAGGCGTCGATGGCCTAGTGGTTAGGCTCTCAGACTCGCATCCGTAAGGTCATGGGTTCGAATCCCGTCAGGGGCCGGACGTTGTGTCCTTGGGAAAGGCACTTTGCACAAATTTTCCTCACTTCACCCATGTGGAAATAGGTTCCCGGCTATAGACAGTGAACTATCTTGTCAGTTTGATTATGTTTGAGAGCATGAAATCCCCAGCTTGCACTGTATGCTTCCGTGGAAGCCGAGAATTTTTCTGAGTATTCTCAGAGGGTCTGCTGGGGTAATAATAGTTGTAAAGCGCATAGAGCATGCTCTTGAGCATGGATATGCGCTATATAAATGCAATTATTATTATTATTATTATTATTATTATTATTATTATTATTATTATTATTATTACCTTAAGTCCTTACTCTTACCATTGTCTAGAGCAGAGTTACACTGTGGGTGGTTGGTGGGTGCTCGTGTGTGGTTTGCTTCTTCTTTCCTGTCGAACATCTATCATCTTTATCTCCCCTCCTTCTTTTTTGCGTTTATTACTCTCTTGTATCACCTCTAATCTTCGGCACTTATATGACCATGTTGTGTTGCAAGTGCCGTAAAACACTTACTAAAATTAAACTGAAAAGAGTTACATTCACAACAAATGTGTCCATTAAAATTAAACTGAAAAGAGTTACATTCACAACAAATGTGTCCATTAAAATTAAACTGAAAAGAGTTACATTCACAACAAATGTGTCCATTAAAATTAAACTGAAAAGAGTTACATTCACAACAAATGTGTCCATTCCCAGGAGGAGGAGGGGACAGGCGAAGGAGAAGGAGAAGAAGAAGGAGAAGAAGAAAAAGACAAGATGAGCTCTGACACGAAGCAAGTGGCCAAGCGTGTGCTGAGCGCGGTCTTCTATGGCTGCTCCTCCATGCTCATCGTAGTGGTCAACAAAGTGGTGCTCACGTCCTATGGGTACGGTGTGTTGTTGTTGTTGTTGTTGTTGTTTTGTTGTTGTTGTTGTTGTGTGTGTTGTTGTGGTTGTTGTTGTTGTAGCATGTGTGTGTGTGTGTGTTGTTGTAGTTGTTTGTGTGTGTCTGTGTGTTGTTTGTTGTTGTTTGTGTGTGTCTGTGTGTTGTTGTTGTTGGTGGGGTTTTTGTGCATGTGTGTTGTTGTTGTCGTTGTTGTTGTTGGTGGTGTGTTGTTGTTGTTGTTGCTGCTGCTGCTGCTGTTGTTGTTGTTTTGTTATTGTTGTTGTTGTTTTTGTGTGTGTGTTGTTGTTGTTGCTGTTGTTTTTGTTGTTGTTGTTGTTGCTGTTTTTGTTGCTGTTGTTCACATAGGTAAGGCATGTGGTTGTTGTTATCCATATTTAAATATATAGGTAAGATATATGGGTGGTTGGTGGATGTTCTGATGTACTTTGCTCCTTCTTTCCTATCATATTCAAACATCAGCATCTTTATCTGTCCTCCTTCTTTTCTTTGTATGTTGATTTTTGGTAGGAACACCTCTCCGGCATTTAAATGACCTATTTGTGTTGCAAGTGCTGTTAAAATCTTACTTAAACTACAACTGATACTAAACTAAGCGTGGTTGTTGTTGTAGTTGTTTATGTCATCAGGTTCTAGATGAGGCTATCTCTGACCATTCTCTTCTGATAGCTGACTTTAACATCTCCAAACCAAAACACGAAAGAAGAAGTATACTTTCAAGGAACACGAGAACAATAGACACACAGGCACTTCGGGACGACGTGAGCAAAACACTGACAAGTGTTATCATCCCTAAATGCAGACACATTTCATGACACTCTGAAAGCGGCAATCGACCAACATGCGCCAATGGTAAAAAGAAACTTTTCATCGAGCGAGACCCTTTTCTCCGGGGTTTTCACTTGAAATCAAAGAAGCCAAGCAACATCGACGTCAGGCAGAACGCTCCCTCTTTTTTGTTTTTGTTACTCTGTTGTAACACCTCTAATCTTCAGCACTTATTTGACCTTATTGTGTTGCAAGTGTCGTAAAACACTTACTAAGACTAAAAAAAACGTCACAAAATACACAATATCATCCCACCAGTACAAACTACACTTCAATTGCTGTTCACCTCTGTGCAGGCATCCAGGTTTTTTTGTTTGTTTGGGTTTTTTGTTGTTGTTTTTTTGTTTTTTGGGGGGTCAGTTTTTCATGTTGGTGGTTGGTGGGTGCTCTAGTGTGGTTTGCTCCTTCTTTCTTATCAAACATCTATTGTCCTTATCTCCCCTTCTTCTTTTTATGTTTGTTACTCTCTTGTAATATCTCTAATCTTCTGGCGCTCATATGACCTTATGCAGTTGCGAACGCTGTAAAACCTCTGATAAAACTAAAACTAAACAGTTTTTCTTGCTAGATAGATAGTGTTTAGCTCATTGTCACACCCCAGTGACCTTCGACCTAAACGTGACATCTTTCATCATCTGGTACTGGACTGTGGTTTGTTTCTCTTCTTCCAGATTTCCTTCATTCCAAGTACTGGGGCTTGGTCAGGTAAGTTTAGAACATTTGTGTGTGTGTGTGTGTGTGTGTGTGTGTGTGTGTGTGTGTGTGTGTGTGTATGTGTGGTTGTTTGTGTGTGTATGTGGGTGTGTGTATGTGTTTGTATTGTTTGTAAGTGTCTGTTTCTGTGTGGGTATATATGTGGGTATGTGGGTTTGCCTGTGTGTTGGTGTGTTGGTGTGTATGTGTGTGTGTGTATGTGTGTGTTTGTATGTGTGTGTATGTGTGTGTATGTGTGTATGTGTATGTGTGTGTATGTCTGTGTGTATGTGTGTGTATGTGTGTGTGTTGGTGTGTATGTGTATGTGTGTGTGTGTGTGTGTGTGTTGGTGTGTATGTGTATGTGTGTGTGTATGTGT